CGCGGATGAGAAATCGCTCCGAGCCGGCCCTCGCTATGGTATCCAGCCAGTCGGCTCTAGCTTCGGAGGTAGGTATCGGGAGAGGGGCAGCGCGGGCTCAGATCCGTTACGTACCTGCCGGAACACCGCCCGTCGTGCAAACGTGCATAGCCGCAACGACGCCGCTCGCGCGGGAGGCGGTGTGGGTTCGATCCCTGCTGCCGGAAAAATATGCAGGTACTCGGCCTTGATCCTCCTGGGTACATTTGCTCTATGGATCCGTCCTCGGAAGCAATGTGAATAACAGTACCCGGGACGTTAAACCTTGGCTGTGTGGAACAGCCCGAAAAAGTGGAACACCGCCCGGGGCCAAGGCTCGCTTCTCCGGTCCGTTCGCCTGACGTTCACAGCTACAGATCCTTGTTGCTGCCGTTGACGCTCTCGTTGCTGATACTGCGACGACGACTGTTGTGTGTTTAGTTTTCTGCAACAACTGCTGCGGAGAGCAACGTGCATCGAAGTTTATGGCTCTGCCGAACTCTACTCGAGTATCCCGAAATCCAGGATTGTCTTCCCCGCCGAAGCGCTCGGCGAACCTGCTCACTTGTCCAGAGGCACTACGAAGACGACTCGACGTGGAAGAGTCCTACGTGAAATAAGAAGCGTACGCAGCTCAGAACTCGAGAATATAAAAAGCGGAATCGCTTCGAGGGGATTCCCCCTCCCGGGAAACGGAAGAGTGAAAGCTCTCTGTGGATCCGTGCACACGTATATCTCTATACAAGTGTGTATGTATGTATGTATGTATGTATGTATGTATGTATGTATGTATGTATGTATGTATGTATGTATGTATGTATGTATGTATGTATGTATGTATGTATGTATGTATGTATGTATGTATGTATGTATGTATGTATGTATGTATGTATGTATGTATGTATGTATGTATGTATGTATGTATGTATGTATGTATGTATGTATGTATGAATGTATGTATGTATGTATGTATGAATGTATGTATGTCTCCGTGCCAACATCGCGATTCGTTTGAAAACGATCATGGAACAATATAGAGATACGACGCACGCAGATCTGTCAAGGGGATCTTTCAATGTGACCGATGTTTCAATGATATTTGACTTTCTGATGGTCGTGACGCTGAGTGAGCATCGAGTTCGTTCCGATACTTCGTTTTGATGACCTTTAACGAAGAGACTGATTCCTCGCATGAGTAAGTTGCCGAGAACTGCGTGGGCGAAGGAAGTGCTCGTCCGCTGAGTTCGCGGTAGATACATTCCAGCGTTCATCGCCGAAGAGTAGAAGCTTAGGGCTCGGACCGCGCTGCAAGAGGATGTGTGACGAGTGACGACGCTCCCTTGTAATTTTCGTACCCTGAATGGTCCAGAGTCTGAACCTAGAAATCTTCCGCTGCCCACCCAGGAAAAAGCTAGGACTCACCAAGCAGCCGGGGAACCTACGCTGTAAACATCCGAATGTAGGCGCAGGTTTCCGGTGGTCAAGATAGACGGGCCTGCCCTCCGATTGAAATATCTGCGGCCTTCAGGAAAGAGAGTGATAATCTCATGTCTGCAAGCGGTCAACATGATATGTCCATCTCATTCATGATCGGCGCCCTTCCGAAAGGTGCTGCATCTCCACCATGAGACGTCAAAACGTACCGTGCTGCAACCCCCCGAGAATCGATGCTGTCGAGTATCGTATCTCTCTCTCTCTCGCTCATCCATGGCAGCGACGAAGAATAAAGAAGCAATCGGGGAAGACTCGCTGTAATGATCGACCGGAACGACTGGGTCTGAGTACACAGCCACGGTCGATTGGGATTGAGGACAGAAAGAGCAGTGTTCCTCAGCCGCCCAAGTATCTGTACAGCAGATATCTAAGCTTTTACCCGGAGCCATCAACGTCAGACCCCTGGGATCCGATGATCAAGGTTCAGTAGTATTTCAGAGCCGTCTAATTTCTCATCATTCGGAGCTCCGGAAGGGGCGTCGGAATGGCGAGCGAGAAAGCCCGACGATCGGAAGGCATCTCATCGCAGCACGTTGAGGGTTCCGCTTTCTGAGGATCGTTAGGTGAGATGGTTTCTGATATCAAGCCTAATATTTCATAGGCTTCTAACAAGCCCCAGGATTGAAGAAAATGCCGTGGAATAGAACGCATCCTAAATCCGCGTTTATTAAGCAGCTTGCAATGTGAGCTATGTGTCATTTCGCTCCGCTTCCGTCTCTCTGAGGAGAACTGTCGTAGACATACAGCGTCTGAGAGAGCTCTGCTACTTAGTTATAATACGAAACGAGCTTTTCAACGAGTTAACTTAGGTGGAACTAACGAACAATATGGCATCAAAGCTTCTGCGTATCTAGACCACCAATAAAGAGAAAGTCGACGGGTTCCCCTGTCTATTCTATATACGCCGAAAATCCCACTGTAGTGTGTTGCGCTAAGTCACAACTACTAGGTACAGTATTAACATGAGCGCTGTGGGAAACGATTATGATGAGTCGATACAAAAAGAATACCTTGACTAGACAGTGTCCTCCGGAAAACTGGCTGGAAACCAGAAATTATATAAAAACAAAGGACGCGCTAGCTCGAGCTGAGTCGATATCAGCCCGCCTAGAGTCATTTATGATGTCATCAACTAGGTACATGGGTGTTTTGCAGGAGAATTATTTCTAAATATTCTACGAATTATTCCGTTTTGTGTAATTCATAGGTGCTGCCACAATCACGTATTGTGGCTGTCGAGCTCACCGCGCAATCGACTCAAATAAATTCTAGATCTCGAAATTCTAAGCATAGATTCGAGCGTTTGTTCGTTGCGTCTCATCAATTCACCGTCTCAAGGTACGAATAATTCAGGATAACCCAGATAGCTCACGTTGGGTGGAAACTCCCAACTTATGGGCCTCCCTTCTCATGACGTCCACCTACTTTCACAGCATAAATGCACTGTCACAACCATGTTACGGAGCGGTCCTCAGAGAACGCCCTTACATTTATCTGCCGCGTATTCCGCCATAAAACGCGTTGAGCTGTCGTCCAGCACGAATGCATGGTCGATATCCTTATCGCAAAGCGTGATATCGGCCAGCGGATAATCTCTGCGCATGTCCTCGAAATACGACAATGGGCACCATTGATCCTGGCTTCCGTAATAGAATGATAGCAGACGCCAGGAACGTTTGATAAAAGCATCATCACGTTTATCCACCTTGTCGAACTCGTCCTTCGCCATAAACCACGATGAGTACATGGCGTGTTTGCACAAGAATGACGCGGTCGCCTCGCCCAGATGCGTTTGCCTGTAAGAGTTCCAAGATTGAGAAGCTTTGAAATGGCGATACCCACGTAGAGTGACGCTTGATGGTCGACTGACGGTCCCTTGTTCCAGCTATATGTTCCCTATCTCGCTCCAAAAACAGACCCTCCAAGCTTCGGACGGTGGAGCTCCGTCCGTGCACCGAAGGTATTTTCTGGCTGAATACGCCTGTTCTTGGAATTTATGCGGGAATCTGCGCTCAGCCGGAGCACTTTCAGGTTACGTTATATGCGAGTAAGAGGAAAACTCAATCGATTATCTAATGTCTTCATATCCTCTTGGCAATCACTGTGTGACGTGACGTCCCTTACCCGTAAAGCCAATTCCCGATCCACCGTTTGAATGCGACCGGCGCCATGTGGATGAGGTTTGCTATGAAAACTAAAGGAGATTCCCAGCGATTGACTGTCTTCACCATTCGCTGCGCCTTTTCCGTCAGGATCATGCGCTCGAAAACAGGGAACAGGAGGATAGCTTTCTCGCACTGAAAATAGAGTCACGGCGTGATCGGTCTGTCTCCGTTTGTCATTCTACGTATTGCCATGTCGTCTCTTTCCTCTTCCAATCAAATGACCGTGCAGAGGAGTTCAAGAGATCTATCGCGCGGAATGAGAATAGTGGTCTTGTGTCTCTTGGGGTCTCTCGCATGATCACACGGCAATATCCGAGTCCCCCGGTCCGAAAGCAAGGTCTCATGGGAACCACAGCAACCAAGTATCTACGACTTGTCTTCGGGACGGATAACTCATAGTGGGACATGATAGAATCGTGACCGAGAGTGTCGTTCCATAATCGATGTCAATTCTGGAGACTCATTCCAGAAACATGAGTCAGAGCGTAACTTTAGAGCTTTGGGGATAGAACACGGCGTCGGGGAGAATCGATATTCTTTCGGAGGCGAGTCCAAAGCAATCGAAAATAGGATATTACCTTAAGCTTCGGTTCGCGTTTCATGATTTGCATAGCGATATAAGCACCGATCGAATGCCCGATGAGTATGACCTCCCGTTGGAAACCGATGAATTGCTTGATGAATTCAATTTTATGCAGTATTTGTGCTTGAACGTCGTAGAGCTGACGATTTTCTGAGGGCAAAGGGAACAGTGTAGCAGAGCTCTCTGAGTGTCAGTGAATTCTAGATGGATTCGACAGGAACGAAGTCAGCGTTCCATGGCGGGAGTCGCGAATTTTCGTTCAAATCAGGATATTCCCTCTTCGGAATCTTCCGGCCGAGTGAATTTACTGATACCTTCAATTGGTGGCATGATCGCTCCTGCCGAGGGTGGGGCATGATGCCCCGCATGACTGACTCCCACGACTTCGACCTGTTCTTCGAAGCGATCGTAAATGAGGCGCAGAAATTCCTCGTAGTATTGAATCTCGCCGGGATTGCCTGAAAGCGGAATAACTAATTTGAACTTGGTCGGATCTCATGAGGAACGAGAGTAAGCCACTGAAAATAGACAGGGAAGAATATTCGATGCTCCGTTCTTCGCGCCATCAAAATCTTTTGGCCGATGCGTAGATCGAGCTCGGCGAGGGGACTCGTTACCAAAACGAACTGAATCGCACAGGTCGTTCGAAACCCTACGCTTAGGCCGCGGAACGCTGCATGGGACTGAGATCAATCTCCTAGATCTCATTGAGACGATTATAGCCTCACTCATAAGATCCAGAATATCTACCGTCAAGCAAATCATCAAAGCTTAATGAAGATCGTAGGGTGGGCGGAATGGAGGGATAGCCAGACCGGATATCTACAACGTATCATAAACCAGCATCACTATCCGGAGAATTCTTTGGACCATTCTGCCCGATTCGTGATGCGAAATTCACAGGGAAGTGACCGCAACGCACTTTTCCTATCCTACCTGGTATCATGAGAACCACGGGAAAATCTCTCCAAATCCCATCGGTCTCCGGCTTGAGATTCGCCTGGAATCGAAGGATTTTCGTCGGAACCCCGCGCACCTCTTCGAACGAGTATTGTGCCGTCATCCTGGAGTCATCGGCACCTGTTCTGAGAACTTGTCACCACATGGAGAGAGAGCTCCGGGACTCTGAGGGCAATGGAAAGGCAGAGCACGGATTAACACCGAAAACCAAGCGAGCTCGTCACCCCGTTCGCTCGTTCGGTTCCAGCGGAGGGGAGTGACTGAAGTAGATGTCTCCTCTTCCTCTGTTGATGAGACAGCCGACGGTGCGGAAACGGAATCCGTTTTCGCTCTCGCCACAAGAGACGCGCCAGTCAGTCAGTCACTGTTTCTGGTAGTGGTGTGCGGGGTGTCGATCATGATTTCTCTCGCATGATTCCTCTGTATGTATCAGGCTGGAGAGTCAGCTGACTAAGTGAGTTGGTTAAAATATCTCAGTGGGGGAGAGGGCTGTATTTGGCGCGAGAGTTCGAATTCACTCGCGTATTCCCGAGTCTTTGCCGTGCGATGAATGTCAGGTGTGGGTCCTCAGTTCTGAGTACTCAAGCGAGCGCCGCGCCGCTGACACCGTCTTAGCGAGAGTGTCATACGGGAGTAGTGCGAAAATCCCGCTGATAAGCGCTGAGGGAAACACAAGAAAGACTCCATTGTGCTTGAGCTCCGAAAAAACTTAGCGCGACCCGTTCCTCTTCTGGTTTCCTGCAGACCTCCCTTGCGCGGGAGATGGCATGGACTCGATCTTCGCTGCCGGAAAAGTATCCTCTCGGAATCTGCTCAATGAAGGGAAGGTACTAGGTCACGATCCAGCTGGACACATTTGCTCTCCACATCCGTTCACGGAGGCGGTGCCAGGAGCAATATTCGGGACGTGAAGCTTTGAAGTGGGTGATTCTGCTCGAGAGTGTACAGTCGGGCTTGCTTCGGAACGAATATTCGAGCGTCGAGGATCGCTGAAGGGAGAGGAAGGGCGCCACCGTCGATGCTCCGTTGCATCCTCTCTCCAATGTAAGATTCACGCGAATTGAGCAATATGGAATACCAATGGATGAGGAGATGAATGAACGAGCCCCCTTTCCTCGGGGAAGTAATCGATACAGATCCCGCTCTGGCCTTCCGGCTGAGTCTCCCCGAGCGACACGATCCTTCCCTCAAAATCCCATGCTGGGAAAATATCCGGGGAGAGAGGAACCGAGGGAGTGGCGCTTAGATGAGCACAGAACTTGAGCGTGCGAGTGCCTTTCGGAAGAGTTCACAATAAAGGAGACAATATTCAACGTAGAGGCAGTGGATGAGAAATTGTTGCGTGCGCAACACAAAACCTGGACTTCATCCGAGGATCCCAGTCTTGAATCGAATTTCAGATTCGACATCAATGGTATCTCGGAGGTCAAGATCTCGCAAAGCGTTCAGAGCCAGGTTCGACCGTCATCAGTTGTTGGTGTTGAAATCGGGAGAGGTCCTTTCTACAATGAGCAGGCCCGCGCTGCTCGTCTCATCGAACAGCGACAGAGACGAGCATATCCGATTTGCCAGGAGAGTGATGCCTAAAAGATTCGAGGATCCCGCACGACAGCCACGAGATGAACCTCAACGTTGGGAGCGGATGAGGACATATGAATGACGTCGAAAAATTTTCAACCCGGAGCACGGCGAGTCCATCGCTCGATTGGGCGCATACGATGAGCCAACTTGCGTTGTTGCTCCTACCTAAGCGAGGGACCCGAGATCGAGAAAGAGGTCCGAACTCTATTGGAGCTATTGCTGTGAGACGTGAAAAACGATCGAACTTGTTGGGAACCACTAGACCCTCGGAATAGGTTGACTCGAAGCAGAGCGCCACTCGAAAGATTCGAAGGTCGAACGACTGCGAATGATTCCAAGGGATCAACAATTCCGGACCGCCGCTCAAACAGTTTTGGGCCCCAGAATCGAGCACGAACCATCCCAATGACATCGTACCGACCTCTGGACTCATCGCTGCGGCACGGCGAAAGTTGGCAATCAAACCAAACCTGTCATCCTGGTGCCGATCGCTGAGCCCGAAGCGACCGATTCCAAAGTTCAAACGACCGGCCGGTCCGTGCTCGTACATATAAAGGAATTCGGAGGACCCGCTGAGCCGCTGAGGGAAACCCTAGCAATATTCCCAGATCGTTGCTTACGTAGAGACAACATAGCTCCAGCTCGTATCGTAACGGCTTGGATCAGAGACCACCGAGGACGGGGATGGCTGTCTCAGTTCGCAGCGTCCGACTACAGAAGGGGAAGGGTATTGATCTAATGAAATCCCGGACGATTGTCCCTAATTTTTAGCGCCGATTGCCTGGAAAGGAGGCAAGCGACAGGAGCGGCCCATGATTTCCGCATCGAAAACTCCACTGCCTAGTGCTCAATGATCGGACGGCCGCACATGTTGCATAGGATTCAGTGGATACGAGGCGGCATTCTCGATAAGCTCGTTCTCACTTTCCGATCCAAATACTTAATATGAACTAGGGCTTGGTGGCCCGCAGGTTCCGTCGCCATGGCCTTAGTGGTCCGCGGGACCAGAGATGTTGGCCATGTTTGCTTCAGATAGACAAACTAATCGCCTGAGAGTCGAGGAACGTTGACAAGAGCCCGGAGTGTTGAGAGAGTACGTCTATTCCTCCTCTCTTGTATCGCGGATCTCATGTCGCTAGCGATGCGCGGAAGGACCTGAAGTGAGACAATGCTCAACTCAGGGAAGCATTCTGTGCTACCGGTCTTACCCTCAAGTCCAGGGCACCCCAATATATCGGAAAGCGCGAATCTCTGTTTTCGGACGCACGTGGCGGCTGGATCGAAATGATATTTGTCACTTGCGCAGTGTGTCGATGCGTAATGTACTCATCGCAGAGTTCTCGGCACACGCGGAACGAGCCTTGCCTCTAGACTCCATCGACTACCTGCCCCGATGAAGTTTTCTGTCTGAAAGTCGAATTCTTCTGGATGGGTCGAGCAAGTTCACCGCCGCTTCCGGCTCTCATCCCCCATCGACATTTCGTCTCGGTGGCGGATGGCGAGGAGGTTTCGGGGTGTCTCTGGTCCGCTCTGTCTGCGCTGCCGGAGAGGGTACTGCTGACGGTACCTAGAAAGTACAGAGCTCATTCGCTTGTTCGGAAGCGAAGAAGCGCTCCGAACAATCAAGCGCTCGGTACCGCAAGGACTTTTCGGGACTCGCGAAGATGTCAACGAGATCAGTTCCAAGGTGAGTGACAGCATCCTCTAAAAATTAGGAAATTCATCAGTCGATCGATATCTGGACAAGCTTCAAAGAGGAGAATTCCAGAATTCTCCGGACAAATCCAACGCTGGAAATCAGTCAGTGGTGCCGTTTCGCAGGAAAGAGACGCTCATGGCTCTCAGGAAAGCCGCAGAGTCGGAGCGGAGAGAGAAGTTCCTCAAGGATCGTGCTTCCGCGTTGGAAAATGCCTCTTTCGACCCGCCCGTGAAGGCAAGGGATCTAAGAATTTTCTTCCATGTTCATGTCAATTCCCCTCCAATGATCTCGATCGTCACATCCTGTAGTTGACTTTGCTTCATATTCCAGAAAAGGAGAGATGACGCACTTTCCGCAAGGATCAGGGAGGTGCTCGGCGTACATCCTGCCTCGTGGAAGTCTCACAGGGATCAAAGCCTTCAGCAATTAGTCGACGCTTTTGCTCTGATTTCTATTCAGACAGGGAAGCGACGAATCGCGGACCGTTCGAGACCCTGCTTCTCTGCGGTCGAGGCTCGGAGAAGTCAGCGAGTTCCACCGTGTCCTGCCACGCATCGAGAGGAAGAAGGCAGAAGTCGCCACGTCCCCACGTCCTGCGAAATCCGCCGGGAGGAAACGATAGTGGCTCCAGAGGCTCGATCAACTCGTCTCGGACAGCCGTCCCCGATCACGAGGCTCCCGATCGGATCGAGCCGGGCCCCCCCGGCACCGCGCGGGGAGGAACACCTCGAGAGAGCTCTCCCCCGGGTCCCGAATAACGAGCAGGCACGACGTAGGACTTCACCAACTGTTCCAGCAGGGGACTTGAGGGCAGCCCCCCTCGAAGTATCGAACCGAGCGACAACGGCTCCGACGATCGAACCGAGCCGCTTGGGCTTCAGCGGCTGCTTCGAAACAGATCGCCGCGCTCAGTCGAGCCTTCCCTATCAGCTGACGGCGACCATCCCCACAATGAGCGAGGCACCATTCGCTAAGAGTCTGAGGCGACTTCCAGGTCAAGGAACTACGGCCGAGGGCTTTGAATGTCGAATCAGCGGGGGCAAAGATACATTGCATCGGCCAGAATCCGGCAGAGATCAGAATCTCGATAAAGACCAAGGTAAAGACATCCCTGCAGACGTCCCTCCGGCCACCTGCATCCCCCTGAGAATGCTCAACAACACCATGGAGCATCTTCGAAGACCACACCGGGAGGCCGCCTCCAAACGCTGTAGTGACAATGATACGTTAGTGCCGACCACGAAGCGGAAGCGTGATTGGATCTCATTGCCGAGCTACGATTTCGAGCGATCGTTATTAGAATTATATGATTCACCGTAAATGCATGTTAGAGACCGACCATATACTTCATGCATACGAAACCTGCCCGTCTACTGGAGACTGGCCGTATTCTGAAGTATTGCCCGTCCATGAGAAAATCTGCTGTAGTTTACCATCTCATCATGGTCCTGTACATGACGCCGTTCGTCGAGGATTGCCTCTGCTACGAGAACCAAAATAAATCTAGTCTTTGTTACGAAGCTCTGCGGCATACGACAGCCAAGGACTTCGAGTTTCCGAAACTCCTCCGCTTGTGTCACATTGTCGCATATGTAGGTCGTGAAGTTCTGCACCCCACGTCCGCCGGTGGCGACATCAGAGAACTCGGATTCATCAAGTAAAACGTGCGCTGATTTCTCGGCTATGCCTTATGCTGTTGGTGATGTTCTTCGTCTTCCCGGGGTGAATGGTCCTCCGGATAACGGTGGAGCTCGGAATTCTCTCAACCGTTGAAAGCCGCGTGAGTTCTGAATGAAACGTTATCTCCATGAGAAGAATCCTCC